TCTAGGGAAATATCACAGTACAAGACGTCGCGACCCAAAGAAGTATATTGTTGACAGATTTTACTAGGGGCCCAAGGAGAAAATAGAGTTAACCTGGTTGCTGGTTCGGCTAATTTTCGTCGACTGAACCTGCTCTCATGTCTGGTGTCTGACAACTCCGAGAAGTTCGTTTGGTTACGGTCCTTCAACCAGCCTCCTTCGCTGCTACGGGCGAAGAAGGGTTTATTTGCGGCCTTGCCCACGTTTTCTTTTCGTTTTTCTTTACTTTTTACATTTTTCTTTGTTCCACATTACATCTCTGCACTCATTTTCGAACGCAAAAACAGCTCAAATCTATCCCGATCCGTGTCTTTTCCCTCTTTCTTGGAAAACCTAAGCATATGTTGTAAGGGTACGTCTGTATGTCAAGCGGTGCGATCAAAAGCCAACTCCACGCTAAGAGTCGAGGTCAATCGAGTGCAATCTCTACAGTTCATTTACACGAGCTTATCGGGCATATTTCTTCTGGAAATCTCATAATCAGTTACATTCTCTAATACTCACTGTGTCATTCACTGTCTCTTGACCGGAGCCAATAACAATTCCTCGCGGTTGTACGTTTCCTTTGAATTTGTACGTACTAGACCTCTCCTAAAATTCGATTTCCTTCTGCAGAGCTCAGTTCTGGAGCTATTTTATTGTGCTAACATCGACAACTACATACCGCTGTAACCAGTGTACCGACAGGGAGCTTGGACGCATCCTGAAATCAATTTAGGAGAACGGATTTTCAAAGAGATTCATGCGGAAGGTTTGGTGCATAACGAACCACGGCAGGTGCAAAAGATCCTCTACGTCTTCTCCTTCTCCTTTTCCTATCTCGTCTCCTGGAAGGAAATTCTCAGTGCATTCACGATCCATGGTTCAATCAGATGGGGGACCTCTACGGGGTGGGATAGTACTATTCACAAGGGATGCCCCTCTTTCCCCGGCTTCGATGTACATAACAAAAGCGCTAGGCCTTCGTCAAGACCACCTCCATTTCCTCGTCCGCAGCATGCGATGTCTGGCACTATGTCATGCTTTGTGTCAGATTAGCATAGAAGTAAGCAAGGCTTTAACTTTGGCGTTTTCACGGGTTCACTTATTTTATCCTTTACCATCGGTCCCCGTTTCATCACCTCCTATGTTTTCGTGCACAACAATCACACCATTTGATCCTAGGGCGTGTCTTCGGGCTCCACTGAAATCACTTACAAGTTCTAACATTGCTGAAAAGATGTGCCCTCTTCAATGGCCCAGGTTTCAATCTAATTAGTGGGTTATTCCGCTCAGAAGTGAAACAATATATGCGTAAGAGACCGTCATTGAGGAAGAAAGATGGACAAACTAAGAAAAACAGTGGAAATGTGGACCTTCTTTCGTTGTGAGGTGACCGCAGAGAGACGAGGGCGGGGCGAGGAGAGAGAACACGCGAGGTTTCGTAATAAGAGAGCTTTATTATGGTAGCCAGCCAATGTCTTTCAGTTCGGATTATCTTGTCCGATGAGAATGAGTTCAAAGGCAGCGATTACGATAGGTTCAAGAAGGGTTAGAGGAACGTGGTGGTGCTCAATGGTACGCCAGTGGCGAAAAAAGCGGAGAAATCCGTCAAGAAAACGCAAAACGGGACCCCTTTTTTGGCCGTTGGTTTTCACTCATGAACAGGTAACAGCTCAGAAAGCGGACGTATGAACGAGTTCACCGCAACGCGTTTGGTGGCACCATGCCAAACCACGCTCCAATCGAGTTGCTCCAGTTGTGCCGCTGCTGGCAACGCAGCTCGTCCAAATCAACAATAGTGGGCGGATCGCTTTTGGGGGCGGAGTGCTTTCGAAGTCCTGCTCAGCACCTTTCGTCGTGAAAGCGCTACACCTCGCTTCCTTGGCAGCCAAGTAACTGCTTCGTGTGGTGCTTGCCCCATGGATTCCCTCTTGTATCGTAATTGCTTCCTTTAATTAATAGTAAAACGTGCTCGATGGATGAAGGCGACTAATGCTGGGATATAGGAAAAGCTTCATTGGGTTCTCAGCAGGGAGAGCTTCGCTGAGATGATCTTGGCTGCATTGTGAAGCAGTGCTGTACTCTCTCTAACTGCTATATTATGTAGAACGAACTCCAACGATTACAAGGATGTTCTTGCTGATAATGCTTTTGGTTCCAAGAGAAGATTGCCGGTAATTCCAGTTTCATGCACAAACAAGCCTCTATCCGCAACCATCCGATAATAAACATAACAACTCAAAATCTCTTAGGGCAAACCAGTAAGGCATTCTCCATAGGCCGTCATAGAACAACTTCAGCGTGGCCAGCTGAGAGAGACACTAGCAGTGTCCACCATCTCCCATGTCTGTGACGGCCCACACATCGATGATTTGCATAAAAATATGTAAAAAGACACAATGGCTATTACGGGGGGTCGTCCTGCTCCCCTCGAGAAGGACGGATCGTAAAAATTAGAACTCTACGCATTTAGCAAAGCTAACCCCGCGTACCGTTGACTCCGTAATTGCAACATGAAACCTTTCCTTCGCTACTTGGAAACAGTCGTTGTTCCCAAGGGCATTCATACTTTAGAAAGCGCATAGAATAGGAAGAAGTGTACGAGAGAGAACCAGTCACCGAGCCATTCCTCTCCACACGCCCATGGAAAATCCATCGATGAAAAGGATACCTATGGACACGCTATAGGATGCTTCATACCCTCGACCGGACAACCGTTCGAAATGGATTTTGAGCTTTGAGACATGTCCTACGAAGAAACAGCTACACTGTGCTTAAAACGTAACAGCACCATAGGAACGTTTACGTCGGTCGCCTCCGGCGCTGAAACCAAACATTCCTAGTGAGAGCGCTCTGCCAATTCATCCTCAATGTGTGCAACGATACGACTGTAACTCCACTTTCCGTCCTGAACCCTTCAAGACAATGCGATGAAGAAGTAACATACCTATTCATTCTCCTTGCTCGCTCTGCTTCCTTGAAGAATGTTACACACTGAATGAAAATTCATTATTGGAGATCGAATCGAGGCAGTCTCTCAACTGTTGACGACTCGTTATCAAAAAAAATTTAGTGCAAAAATTACCGCCGTAAAGCCAATTTCCCTAGCAAGCTCTATCAGGTGTATTATTGTTCCACCATAATAGTGAAGGAGGAGCTGGAACAAGATTTTTTCTATATACAACAAGTGGAAAGAACAGCTTTGGTGCACTTGTACTGTACAACAAGTCTGAACGGTCGAGGATTCCTAAATGGCTTGTCGAGGACTTTCGCCTGATCGGCTACGTTCTCGTGCGCCGACATTCACAATTGCCATGCGCGAGCCGTCTGTGCTCTCCGTGCTTACGTTCACTCTCGGTATTACAGAGCCATGATCGAGGAATTCCTCGACCGTTACTCACCCTGCTACATGTCTCCGTGTCGCTGCTCAGCTTATCTTGTAAAGGTCTGCTTTTACTGTCTTCGTTTGAATTTCTTGTGCTATACAAGTAGGGTGGGCACGCCGCATTTTTTGAACAGAAATTTATGCAACTGGGACCGCCGCCCGCTACTATACTGTCACGGGGAATACGATCGAGAATCGGTGAGCCAGGGGGAGTGTAGCCAATCTAGGGGGTGGGGGTGAGGGCAATCACTTGACCTGCATGAAAAGCTGGGCGTGCCCACCCAACTTGTACAGAGCTGAATCAATACAGTGCTTAGTAATCGAGTGATACGCAAGCGATCCAAGATGTCGAAGCTCTCAATGATTCATTTAAACATATCTATCTGTATTTGTATTAATATTTCCGTTATTGCTCCTTAGTCCATATGCGTTCGCCAGATAATACACCACTTTAAAAAATTTATCAACCCATAAAGCCAATTTCCTGCAACTCCTAATATCCTAGCTGACTCATCCGTAAGGTGGGGGCTCAGGTAGCTGCGCCTCACCCCCGCTACACACGCCCCCTTGCGCACAGGTTGCCGTAAGAATGACCCATTACCAGGGGAGTGACAGGCATCTGGAGTGGGTGAGAGAGCCCTTTTGACATTGTATCACAATGCCCCCCCCCCCCTTACCGGATGAGCGCCTCCTAGCTTCCTAATCTACAGCTGCGCTAATCAATAACTATCTTATGTTTTCAGCTAACCGCGAAATTCTTGAAGTTAGGTGTTGTATGCATTGTGTATTCTTCTAGACATACCCATCCCAAGAGGAATCCAAGGAAGTGAAGCAGAGCGAGAGAAGCTGCCAGGTAGATGCTCATATGTTGTACTGGTAAATGGTTCATCAAGCATACAAGTGACCTGAAATCCAATCATTCAGGGTCCGACTATCAGATAAAAGCCTCTGGAGTGGGACTCACCCGTAAAACCTATCTATCTTCTCGCATTGTACTGCCTTAACATCAAATAGCAAGTAGAACGCGATATGTATTGTGTTGAGCATGAATAATGTTAACATCACTACGGGTGTAAGAAAACGAAAAGCTGAAAGGTAGCTGCTCTCCATTTTCGTTGAATCGAAGATTTCTTGATAAGTGAAGACTAATAACTTCTTTTACCTTCATGCTCGAAAAGTATTACTAGCAGTATGAAAAATAGCACTAGGACCTGAAAAAAAGATAGTCATATAACGAAACGAAGCCATGGACTTGGTTGTGGCATGTCTGCCTACATGGAGCAGTCTGGAGCATGGTGCACCACGCGGCCTGAGATACTTGTGTGTCGAAACGTGGACGAGGACGCACCTGAGGCGCCCCACCCAATATGTGCCGTCGTTGCGCCAAACACTTAAATTGGTGCGGTATATCATTAACACTCATAATCGTCAATAAGGTTTTCCCGAAGTTGCGATCAGGGTCGACCCTACCGTTGGTACTTCTCGGAAGTTTTTTACGACTCCGTATTCCTAGTACTACCGAATTACGGTCCACCCGAAGTCTTACTGTACTGTGCTTGTCGTTGGCTGATCCAGTGGATCTGGTAAAGGTACGGTGTTTCTTCTCCCTTGTGATTACGTGATGATTAGGTGGTGTCGAAGATCTAGTAGGTGTGTGGAGATTTTTGGTCGGATACTCATAAACTCGACTTCCATCCTTTTAGGCTCCGAAGAAGGCGAACTCGCCGAAACGTTAGCCAATAAATTGTCAATATCA